GAAAGAGAGAACGGAGATAGCTGCTGGATAGGAGCTGTTCCACATGTTTTATAACTGGTTGTGGTGGCTTTGCCTAGTGTTTTCGTTGCAAATTCTTCTAACGTATGCCAGGGAAGAGGAACATGGGAAGGATCAGAAACATCTCACTGAGCACAGGTTCCCATTTTCCCCCGGTGATGGTCCACTGAAGAGCTGAACTGTTACAGTTTGCACCTGCATAGTTCTGTTTCTTTGGTCCGTGCTGTACCTATTAAGCTTCCTGATTTTGCTGATTCTTGGGTTAATCCCTATCTCTGCCGGCTGGCTGAGCGCAGCTCCTCCTTGTTCAGGCAAGCGTGTGCTGCTTGTCTGATGCTGACATTGCCTACACCACAGACAGAGGGACACACGCAGCAACGGCCTTGCTTTTCTGCAAAGCACCTTGAACTCTCTGTCCTCATGCAGCTCAGCAATCACAGTCTCGCAGGACACGTGCTGAGCTATGATTGCATTTGGTACTCACACAGGCTACAGTTGTTTTTTGGTATTTTCAAGAGGATAAACACTGAGAAAGGACACCAGAAAAACTTCTGTAGAGTCTGGAAGCTCTAAGCTCAAGGAAAATACTTTTTTCTGATGCACTGGCAAAGCCAAACCATTTGAAACATTGTTTTTCTTCCAGATCCTTTCTCAACTTCTCTACTAGTAATCCTAGACTGTCAAAATATTTTCTGCTTAGGAAGTTCTGCCAGTGGTGTGAAGGAATCCATCCAACAACAGTGAGACACGCAAGATGAACAGAAGGGTTTTACCTATTGCAAAAGACATTTGCGGATCAAAGATAAAATGGGACAAAGAAATCAAGAGGCCCTTGCCTTCTCAGCATAAAAAGAGGTAACTTCTTATTGCCTGAACCTAGGCCCCACTTGCTCCTTTCCCCCCTCACTCCCAGCAGATTTCTGTTTCTTGGCCTATGCCAAGGCTGCACATCTTTTCTAGACAGTAAGGTGCAAGGCAAACTCTTGCTTGCGGCACAGAAGGCAGCTGTAATTCTCCTTGTGGGGAAGCACAGGACTGGGACTAGATCTGTGAGAGGCAACTGAGGTAAGGTGAGGAAAGGGCGGGACTGGAACAGGAGATAAAAAGGGCAGAAACCAGGAGTAGAAAGGGCTGTAACCATCTGACCAAAAAGGGAAAGAGAAATCGGAATCCCCACATCTCCACACTGTGATGCTATTTACAAATAGCCATGAGACCCATGGGCAACATGTGTTGCCAGAGAGCCTGGGTCACATGGACAACAGCAGCTTAATAACGAAGCTGCATTCACAAGGTTGTCCCTGAAGTCCTGCTCATCCCGTGTACTGAGCGAGGCACGGATCTTGTGAGACCCACCATCCTAGAGCAGAAACCCGCATCACAGGGCTTGTGAGGCTGCACTGAGGGGGCAAGGGGCTCTGTGATTCTGGCCTTCCCCATTTCTAAACGGGTCTCCAACATTCTTCCAGCACTCTGCTATGTGCAGCTCTTGGAAGCAACAGCCCTGTGAAAGGCACCTCTGGCTACATAACCTATGTTCCTCTTATGGTTATTAACCATGCGAATTAATACAATAGGTATCTTGGGCCAACGTCAACTCAGATGTAAGAGTTCTGCAAATCTTAACAACTTCCTTGGATATTTCCACTTTGTGTCTTATTCCCTGCAATTGTAATAACACAGCTGGTCCTCTCCTGAAGGTGCTGTCTCCAGGGAGAGGTGACAGTTTCATGGTTTCCCATGTGAGACAGCTCATCCAAGTGTCACTACCCTGAACTAGTACCAAGACAATGACTTTGAGTAACTATCATTTCAGCATAAATTAAACTATCTGTTTACAGTATGTGGATTAGCAGACATACTGAGGATGTCATCACTGGAAATGCTGTCCACCACCACTGTCAAATCCCAAAGTGAGTTCACACAGAACTCACCTGTGCTTACAGATAACTTCCATCTCTTTAATCCTATTGACCAGTCTTTTACTCCTGTCCCGTACAACGTCCCTCGGTCACACACTAGTTAAAGATGCTAACAACTGGTTTACGGTTATTTGGTTTTTGTACAGTGAACTCTAAAACTAGCCCCAAAATACACAGGAATACTTCTCAGGACATAGGCCTTCACAGCCACAAATGCTCCCAATGTGAGCTTTGCAATGAATGAACAACTTCAGACAATAAAAATTACTTCTTTGATCACAGGTAGAAAACAATTAAGATCAGTATTGGCACCAACTTAAAAACAAGTTAACAGAAGATAGGAAATAATTTTGTATAAGTAAAGAAACGTTCTGATACCAGCTCTGAGGTTTCAGATAGCCATAGTTATTTCACATTGATTATAGATGCACTTCAAAGTGTGTTCTGTCACTGTGAGTAGAACAGTTTTTTGAATACAATGCTTTTTCAGAAGCTTTGTTTCCTCCTTAGAGAAACTTAGGGCAGCAATGGTTAGCTGAAAAACATTTTTGTATTGCCTTCATGCATTCACTGCATGAAGTCTCACTGATCGGCTAGTTTCCTGTGGGGGGAACATTTTCATGCAGATACTGGAGAGCCAGATCTGTCCACTTCATTTCTTGCTCTTTCACAGACTCGGTCGTGCCACCATTGTCTTGTTCTGGTTCAGGAAGTTCGTTCTGAAAACAAAAAAAGGTACAATGTATTTCGCATGTAGTAAGCTTCCTAAAAAGAACAGGTTACTAATACTTCATACTGATACAATACATAAATCCACACAGGAGACTGGAGCGTGCCTCTGACCCATACACAACTTGCATGCTCATCCAATTAAAAACATTACTAAGCCCTGTTCTGAAGACTACTCTTTTCATATGAATACGGTGCTTAATCTGAAAAGTAAATTGGTTAGCAGGGCCCTGGGGCCCTGCTAGCACTCAGACTATGCACTTGCAGTGGAGAACAAGAATATATAGTAAAAACAAAAAACCAAAAAAAGTAAGTAATAGTACAGTGCAAATATTCCATTGTTTGTTTGCAATGTATTTCTTTTGCTGTTCAGTCCCAGGACTACAGATACTGCATTTATTGCAGCTGTTACTAAGAAACTGGCTCTGTAACATACTATTGTCCCATTGCAGGTGAGAAATCCTTCCTCTGTGCACTGAAGTCAGGTATGTCTGTGCTGTATCAACAGGGGAAGTCAGGAACCCTTACGAGATGCAACACAGAACTGCTCAGGAGACAGTAAGGAGGAAGTATGGTTTCACTGAGATTTAACGTTCCTTCTTTATGTTATTTATTCTGTGTGTGCCTGTACTGGTGCAGTCACACAGCGGGCGTGTTATTCTGCAAGATATCATTTGGGCAATAATTTTGAGTTCTAGATTTCTCGAAATCCCAGCATGAGCTAAATAAAATACTTCAATTTTGAAAATGGCATATGATTCAAGCCCTTTAGAGTTCAGGAGCCCTCTCCAGCAAGCACTGGATCAGATGCTCAGGACAGCTCAAATATGACTTTACAACCATTCTCTTGGCTTTTTCACAACTCCGCTGAGTAACTCTCTTGTGAATTTGTGCTGGTTTCTCTTTGTGACCAGAGCCAATCCCATCCCTGGGAATCTTTATATCCACAGCCAGGCTAATTGATGAAGCTTCCATCTATATGTGCCTTCAAGTCAAGGAAATCTAGGTTCTTGTGTCTGAGAATCGTAGTTCTGCAAGATCATTTCCTCAAGGCCAAATCAGGGCAGGAAAACTTGTGTGCTTTATATGCGGAGCGTGAAGGTGCGTGGCTACTCCTTGCCCTCTCTGAAATCAGAGACAGTGCTGTGCACCTCACTCTGACTAGATCGCAGCAGGGGCCCAGGGGTCCACAGCGATGGATGCAACGTAGCCAGACAGCTACATCGAGCAGGTGCCCCAGCTGCATTTCTACCTGCGGTCTGAGCAGCTGACAAACCAGGGAGGGCAATGGATGGTCAGAGGGATTCATCTCCCTAGGAACCTTCTCACACAACTGTGCAGACTGAAGCATGCAGCTTGTGTCTACAAGACCAGAAGGAGAAAAGGACATGGTGAGAAACCAACTCCTGTGTGGTCTCATCACTGCTCTGAGAAGGGACTTGGCAAAACCTGAGCTGCATCTTCTCCAGGAATGTTGGCATATCGTGATTTAAAGGCTGACACTTGAACAATATTCGCTTGCTGAGCTGAAGTTACTGCTAGTCTGCAAGTGTCTCTTTGCTAAAAGAAACTAGTAGCCAAAACTAGCCAAAGCAGCGCAGGAAGCACTTTCATGTGTTAATTCAGGATCATGTGAAATCCCTGTGATTTTAGTGTGCCTGCTGTGTCAGTGCTAGCCAGGGTAAAGCTTACGTACCAGAGTGAACAAGGAGAGGGAAGATCCTCAAATGCCTCTCAATTCACTGGTAGTCCCCAAATGGCTAAGGAAGAGGGTCAGCGAGGGAGATCTGAGGCTCTAACTTGGATATTTTTGGGATCAGAGGCAGCTTTTCCCCAGCTGCACCTCTCTGGCTTAGTAGCTGTACAATGACCTGTTTACTGGAAGGAGGGCTAGCTGCCATAT